TGGTACAACTATAGTAACTAATGATATAACTATAGTAACTAATGGTACAACTATAGTAAATAATGATACAAATATATCAACTAATGATACAACTATAGTAACTAATGATACATCTATAGTAACTAATGGTACAACTATAGTAACTGATGATACAACTATAGTAACTAATGATACAACTATACTAACTAATGGTACAACTATAGTAACTAATGGTACAACTATACTAACTAATGATACAACTATAGTAACTAATGATATAACTATAGTAACTAATGGTACAACTATAGTAAATAATGATACAACTATAGTAACTAATGATACAACTGTAGTAACTAATGATACAACTATAGTAACTAATGGAACAACTATAGTAACTAATGATACAACTATAGGAACTAATGGTACAACTATAGTAACTAATGATTCAACTATAGTAACTAATGATACAACTATAGTGACTAATGATACAACTATAGTAACTAATGATACATCTATAGTAACTAATGGTACAACTATAGTAACTTATGATACAACTATAGTAACTAATGGTACAACAATAGTAACTAATGATACAACTATAGTAACTTCTGATACAACTATAGTAACTTATGATACAACTATAGTAACTAATGATACAACGATAGTAACTAATGGTACAACTATAGTAACTAGTGATACAACTATAGTAACTAATGATACAAATATATCAATTAATGATACAACTATAGTAACTAATGATACGACTATAGTAACTAATGGTACAACAATAATAATTAATGATACAACTATAGTAACTAATGATACGACTATAGTAACTAATGATACAACTATAGTAACTTCTGATACAACTATAGTAACTTATGATACAACTATAGTAACTAATGATACAACTTTAGTAACTAATGATACAACTATAGTAACTAATGGTGCAACTGTAGTAACTAATGATACAACTATAGTAACTAATGGTACAACAATAGTAACTAATGATACACCTATAGTAACTTATGATACATCTATAGTAACTAATGATACAACTATAGTAACTAATGGTACAACTGTGGTAACTAATGATACAACTATAGTAACTTATGATACATCTATAGTAACTAATGATACAACTATAGTATCTAATGGTACAACTATAGTAACTAATGATACAATTATAGTAACTAATGATACAACTATAGTAACTAATGGCACAACTATAGTAACTAATGATACAACTATAGGAACTAATGGTACAACTATAGTAACTAATGATATAACTATAGTAACTAATGGTACAACTATAGTAAATAATGATACAAATATATCAACTAATGATACAACTATAGTAACTAATGATACAATTATAGTAACTAATGATACAACTATAGTAACTAATGGTGCAACTGTAGTAACTAATGATACAACTATAGTAACTAATGGTGCAACTGTAGTAACTAATGATACAACTATAGTAACTAATGGTTCAACTATAGTAACTAATGATACAACTATAGTGACTAATGATACAACTATAGTAACTAATGATACAACTTTAGTAACTAATGATACAACTATAGTAACTAATGGTACAACAATAGTAACTAATGATACACCTATAGTAACTTATGATACATCTATAGTAACTAATGATACAAATATATCAAATAATGATACAACTATAGTAACTAATGATACAACTGTAGTAACTAATGGTACAACTATAGTAACTAATGATACAATTATAGTAACTTATGATACAACTATAGTAACTAATGGTACAACTATAGTAAATAATGATACAAATATATCAACTAATGATACAACTATAGTAACTAATGATACGACTATAGTAACTAATGGTACAACAATAGTAATTAATGATACAACTATAGTAACTAATGATACAACTATAGTAATTAATGATACAACTATAGTAACTAATGATACATCTATAGTTACTAATTTTATAACTTTAGTAGCTCATGGTTCAACACAGTAACTGATGATATAATTGTAGTTACTAAAGATACATGCAAAGTAGCTTATGGTTCAACTATAGCAACTATCATTATTATACCTTCTGTTAAAATCTCGCAATCTGATTGGTTGAGAAAGATGTGAACATTTTCAATGTTACTTGCTCGTTTTACAAAGATAAAGAAGACAGGGAGTTATTCCAAAAAATATCACATGCGCCAAACGTATGCGTGCACGGTTCGTCCCAGTTCCAGGGTGTTATTCCAAAAAATATCACATGCGCCACACGTATGCGCGCCCGGTTCGTCCCAGTGCCAGGGTGTTATTCCAAAAATTGTTACATGCGCCGAATGTATGCGCCCCTGGTTCATCCCAGTGAAAACTTTTCTGAAGATTTGTCGACCTTTAAAAATGGTGAAGTGGTGAAACACCTAAACATGACATTCGGTATAATAAAATAAAAATCACATTCATGAGAGGGCGATATCGCATATTTTCGCCCCTCGGAAAGCATTGTTGACCTCGGATTCGCCTCGGTTAACAATGCTTCCTTGGGGTGAAAATATGCAATATCGCCCTCTCATGAATGTGATATTTATATAATACTGTACCGACTTGCCCAAACCTTGATTAGATAAAACTGTAATTTGCACAAATTTAAAAAATGCAAAACGCCTTAAAATTCATATTGAAGTGTTTATGTACATTCCTTCACATACCTACACATTTGAAGGTATTCTAGATTTTAAATGTTGCGTCATACAGTCGTTAATCTTATCAGGCTTAGAGCATCCAGGCTCAGGTTAAATAAAATAACGGTTATCAGTAAACTAACACTTACAAAATAACTGTTTACTTGAAACAAATTAAATCACGAATCTCACACCACATAATGAACAATACATAAGCACAACAGTCATGACCGTGGTAAAACAAGTTTTGTTTTTTATAAATAAATAACACTTCTTCGATTAATGAAAGATATGTTAAAAAGTGTTATTACACTAGGTGATACTCGGATTTCAAATCGATGAAAGAAAACAGGAAACAAGAAGACATTAGAAAAAAACATAAAACACCACGAAAACAACAATGTGAAATATGATACATCTACAACAAAATTATCATTACACGGTGACAGCTAACAGTTTTCACCACAAAGCACTGATATACGATCTCATATATTTCTAATTTCCTATAATTCACTGTTATAAGGAGAAACACCCATGTTTGATGTTATAGCTACTCGTACTCAGACTAATCGGTGCACCTTTCCTTGTAAAAGGAGGATTGTAATATGCCAAGAGTGATAACACCAAAGTATATGCAGATCAATTAATACGCTTAAAAGCGATCAGAGGTTATATGTAAACAAAAGTCAACGCGTGGAATCAACCATAAACAGGTCAAGGAGCTAATGACCTCGTTAAGCGATGCACTGTTGTTTGTATGAGTCTACATCGGAGGAATTCCCCTTAATACCTTTGACGTCACCATTGAGTGTGGGAGGGAAGTCCTGCTTCAGCAGCCGTTTTACATACCTCAGTGTTGATTCACCACATTCCTTAAATATATCTCGCGCCTTACAATACTAACATCACGTGTAATTGGGAAGTTAGAAGAAATAGGTTATATAATCTTTCCAAATAAAACTCACTGACTGGCATCACTACTGGTTTTTTTATATTTTTTATTTATTGGACTGTCGATAACTATTTCTATTACACTGTATGTGTGACTCACACCACTGAATGAACATATCAAATATTATACTACGAGTACTATTCAAACTAAAACAAAAAAACAATGGTTCAATAGCCTTCCTGTGTTTGTTATCTGTCAATCTGTTTCTGTTTTAATATATATATTTGTCATCCAAGTTTTTTTCTTCTTCTGAATGTGGATTAATATAAAATTGATGTTCTAAAACACCGGCACTGACAATTCGGAAATACTCCCAATACCTGGAAAAACTCCCCAACACTATGATGAATAAAAACCTTTAAATAACTTCTGGTAGGCACTCAAATTAGAACAAGTATATGAACCCGTTATCAGAGGATATTGATCCAAAAAATTCAATGTTATAATCCCTAATAAAACAAAACAAATACGAAAAAATAGCATATGTGTCAGAGCTTGAGTAAAACGTGATATTCTACGTATTGTAAGGGTGCGCACTACTATTACTAAGCTGCACAGTGCATGACAAATTGTTCTTTTGATGTGCGTTTTAATGAATGACATTTTTCTACACACTAGCTAAACGTTAAATAGTCTACATATTTGATTGCTATCAGTTTCCGAGGTTGAACAGTTTTACGGCACTCTGAGGGTCGCTACACAAGAAACACAACTTCCTAGGTCAGCACGTGGTGTTCACTAGTTAAGTAACACAGTCACCTAACATTGTTAACTGAGGACAATGTATCTACTAACATCGATCTTAGTGAAGTGGACACTATGGCATTGTGTCCTATACAACACTGACTCATTCTGCCGGCCTCCACGTTATGAATGTACTTTAAATATACTTGCGGGTGGTAAAAAGAAGTCACGTATTGTTCTCTAACAATAAGTACTTGTGATGTCATTTAATCCCTTGTTAAACAGCAATTTTATAATAAAATTCGACAGTTGAGTTAAACTTTCAGTCATTATTTATTGTTACCCGACATAACGACACAGTAAAACTGTCGTGTCCTTTTAAAGGGTTGATTAGGTAAGCTTATAATTACACATATTTCACTGATAATTTATTACCTTATGTGTCGCCAAGAATTTGTGTTTTTTTTCTATTTGAATATACATATTTTGTCTACAATTCAAAATAAGAAATATTTTAAATATTTTGAAATAGGTTTATAGCGTTGGTGTCATGCTGCCTGCTTCATTGTACACTTTGTATGGTGTAAGCGTACTTGCTTTTCAAGTTAGTATTAGAACTTACCATATATGAATGTAATGTGTGAAACTTTTCTGTGATTGTAATGCTGTGATTTTGACATTTAGACGTTTGTATTTTGGATCAGGTAAATCCCGGAAGTGTGTCCGGTCACAGTCTGTGTATTGGCGACATTATTCTCAAGATCAACAACCGTGACGTCACAAATGTGAACCACTCTGAGGGACAAACGATCCTTCTCAACGCCGGCAACCTTCTACAACTGACCATCAAAAAGTAAGTAAACGAGATATTCTTAATTAAAATGTTAATACTAATGCTTTGAAGAGTGTAACAGTCGTTGTAACGTTTGACCCACTGACCTTCACAACGGTAAAATTATTTTCTAACGTTAATACACTTATACTGAGCTGTTTATTTATGTTGTTATCCCCTTTTCTTCGTTTTCCATATTTTTCATATTGTGTTCCTTTCCCCTTGTTTTCCTTATTCTATAAGTTGTTTTCCTTTTTAATTGTTTCCAGTGTTTTTCATGTTGTTTTCCTTTTCTCTTGTTTTAATTTTTTCATGTCGTTTTTTTTTATTTTCCCGTCTTCCCATGACTTCATATTCTTCATGTTGTGTTCGTTTTCCTTCGTTTCACATATGCCTTATGCTGTTGTCATTTTCCTTGTTTCACATATGCCTTATGATGTTGTCATTTTCCCTTTTTGCAAGTTCTATATTTTGCCCTCTCTTACTGATTTGTTCATATTTATTGTATTGTATTCCCATTCCCATGTATTCCCGATGTTTTTAACACTGTTTATATCGTTTCCCTATTCGATAGTGTTCCATATAATATACAATGTTTATGTTTGCCCTTTGTTTTCCGTATCATATAGAATGTTTATGTTTGCCCTTTGTTTTCCGTATCATATAGAATGTTTATTTTTGCCCTTTGTTTTCCGTATTCTTTGAAGCTGTTGTCTTTCCCCTATGTTTTCAGTATTATTAATACATTTTCTTCTTCCTCCTTATCCCTTATCCTTTACTCTGTTATCGCTTTTACATTGTTTTCAATGTAATGTTCATGTCATTTTTCTTTCTTCTTTGATTCCTACAGATTTGATGTTGTGTCATTTCCCCTTTGTCTTCCGTATTTTCATTTCCCCTTTGTCTTCCGTATTCTATATGTTGGTTTCTTTGTAGTTGTATCTCACATTTTTATGAAAAATGTTTATCCTTTTTGCCATGTTTTTTAAGTGTACATTCTTTTAAACCAAAATGTTTGTCCCATTCCTCTTTTTTTCTTGATAACTGTATTGCTGTTTTGTTGTACTTACTGCTATTCTAATTACAGCTTACTGCCACTCTAGCCGTACTGATATTCTACTTCAACCCCACAGCTTACTGTCACTCTAGCTATACTGGTATTCTACCTCGACATCACGGCTTACTGCTACTCTAGCCGTACTGATATTCTACCTCAACCCCACAGCTTACTGTCACTCTAGCTATACTGCTATTCAACTTCAACCCACAGCTTACTGCCACTCTAGCAATACTGGTATTCTACTTCAACCCCACAGCTTACTGCCACTCTAGTAATTCTGGTATTCTACTTCAACCCCACAGCTTACTGCCACTCTAGCAATACTGGTATTCTACCTAGACATCACGGCTTACTGCTACTCTAGCCTTACTGATATTCTACTTCAACCCACAGCTTACTGCCACTCTAGCCATACTGATATTATACCTCAACCACACAGCTTACTGCCACTCTAGCCATACTGTTATTCTACTTCAACCCCACAGCTTACTGCCACTCTAGCAATACTGGTATTCTACCTGGACATCACGGCTTACTGCTGCTCTAGCCTTACTGATATTCTACTTCAACCCACAGCTTACTGCCACTCTAGCAACACTGGTATTCTACCTCGACATCACGGCTTACTGCTACTCTAGCCGTACTGATATTCTACCTCAACCCAACAGCTTACTGTCACTCTAGCTATACTGCTATTCAACTTCAACCCACAGCTTACTGCCACTCTAGCAACACTGGTATTCTACCTCGACATCACGGCTTACTGCTACTCTAGCCGTACTGATATTCTACCTCAACCCCACAGCTTACTGTCACTCTAGCTATACTGGTATTCTACCTCGACATCGCGGCTTACTGCTACTCTAGCCGTACTGATATTCTACCTCAACCCCACAGCTTACTGCCACTTTAGCCATACTGATATTCTCCTTCAACCCCACAGCTTACTGCCACTCTAGCCATACTGATATTATACCTCAACCACACAGCTTACTGCCACTCTAGCCATACTGATATTCTACTTCAACCCCACAGCTTACTGCCACTCTCGTCATACTGATATTCTACTTCAACCCCACAGCTTACTGCCACTCTAGTCATACTGATATTCTACTTCAACCCGCAGCTTACTGCCACTCTCGTCATACTAATATTCTACTTCAACCCCACAGCTTACTGCCACTCTAGCCATACTGGTATTCTACTTCGACACCCCCAAGCTTACTGCCACATTAGCCATACTGATATTCTACTTTAACCCCACAGCTTACTGCCACCCTCGCCATACCGATATTCTACTTCAACCCACAGCTTACTGCCACTCTAGCAACACTGGTATTCTACCTCGACATCACGGCTTACTGCCACTCTAGCCATACTATTACAGAACCATTTGTTCAGTTTAAATTTACATATCGAAGTCTTAATAACGATATGTTATCATTTTTACATGAAATATTATCAACTTTATTATGTGTGTCAATGACTCTAGGTCTTGATCCTTACACACAAACCTTACTTCTGGCTGATGTAAACCAGATACATTCAATATAAGTTATAGTGTTGAAGTTTCCTGAGCCGTTTACTGATAAGATAAGTTGCTATATGTTTTTGAAGTGTACGATTAATATCAAAGTTTTTTTTACAATTCTTCATCTTTTCACACGAGATGTTTTTCGTTTTAAAAGCTGACATAATATATCATATTTCGAATGTTTGTCTCGACATTGTAACCATTAAAGAAATGATCTTTTCTTTTTATGTACCTTAAAATATTCGACTGAGCGAGTATCTATGTATATATATTAATGTATGGCCGATATAAATTGTCATATTAGTACCATAGTTTGGGTAACATCTTGTAAATTTACCCCTGTAGTCAGTTAAACGAGTGACTAAGGGTTCAGTTACCGTGTTATAAACGTGGTCAAGACAAGTAACGCTGTGGTAGAAGATACAGGTTACATTGTAGTACATGTATCACGGTTAAGACATGTTACTGGGTACAAGACGTGACGGAGACAGGTTAAGCTGTAGCTGACATGGTTAGAAATGTCACGTTGAAGAAGACATGGTTAAGATAGGATACACAGTAACTGACGTGGTTAAGACATGTTACTGGGTACAAGACGTGATGAAGACAGGTTAAGCTGTAGCTGACATGGTTAGAAATATCACGTTGAAGAAGACTTGGTTAAGATAGGATACACAGTAACTGACGTGGTTAAGACATGTTCCAAGGTAGTAGATGGGATTGTGCAGGTGACGGTATGGTGGACAAGTTACGCGAAAGCTGTCGCGGTTAAGATAGATTACGCTTAAGTTGGCGTGGTTAAGATAGATTACGCTTAAGTTGGCGTGGTTAAGATAGATTACGCTTAAGTTGGCGTGGTTAAGATAGATTACGCTTAAGTTGGCGTGGTTAAGATAGATTACGCTTAAGTTGGCGTGGTTAAGATAGATTACGCTTAAGTTGGCGTGGTTAAGATAGATTACGCTTAAGTTGGCGTGGTTAAGATAGATTACGCTTAAGTTGGCGTGGTTAAGATAGATTACGCTTAAGTTGGCGTGGTTAAGATAGATTACGCTTAAGTTGGCGTGGTTAAGATAGATTACGCTTAAGTTGGCGTGGTTAAGATAGATTACGCTTAAGTTGGCGTGGTTAAGATAGATTACGCTTAAGTTGGCGTGGTTAAGATAGATTACGCCTAAGTTGGCGTGGTTAAGATAGATTACGCTTAAGTTGGCGTGGTTCAGATATATTACGCTTAAGTTGGCGTGGTTAAGATAGGTTCTGTTTAAGTAGACGTAGTTAAGACTTGTCACGCTGTTGTAGATGTGGTTAAGACAGGTTATGTTGAATCTCATTCGGATAATACAGGTTACGTTGAAGTAGACGTAGTTAAGACTTGTCACGCTGTTGTAGATGTGGTTAAGACAGGTTATGTTGAATCTCACGTGGATAAGACAAGTTACGTTAAAGAAGACGTAGTTAAGACTTGCCACGCTGTTGTAGATGTGGTTAAGACAGCTTATGTTGAAAATCACGTGGATAAGACAGGTTACGTTGAAGTAGACGTGGTTAAGACAGTTAATACTGAACTACAAGTGGTGCATCAAAAGAAAAAGAGAGTTGTCATTGGTATTTTTCAAGATTATAAGTTACACATGAATTAGCGTGTAGAAATATTCACGAATTAGACAGATCTTGTGAATATTTGTTTAAACATTTAATTAAAAGAATTTCTCAATGAAAGAAAAATCACCATGATTTGAAACACACAAAACTGTAAAATGTAAACATGATCATTTGAACGTGCCTTTTTTTTACAGTTTAACAGAACCGGGTTTTCAGATTCATCAATCAAATTTGTTTGATTGGATAAGTTTCGTTACAAAATGCACTTTAAACAAGAGTTTAGAAGCGTATGAACAATTAAGTAATATGATCATCTGTATTGTACTTATTGAAATACAATGTTAGAACAAATAATAAATACGCAATAACAAAATGCATAATATAATCAAGATATAATAACTGCTCATATGAAAATGATAAACTCACTAAAATAGCATGCCCTGCACATTGGTACAGCACCAACAGCTGTGCCATCACTGTTGTAAGGGGAAGGCTAGAATGTTGGTATGGCATTACACAGGGCTCGATGTACATCCCAAACAGATACCCTTGGGACTCAATACAGACCCAAAACATCTGTTTGTCATTCGGAGGACTTCTCATCAGTGCTTCCACATGTTTGTGTTTATCATCCTCTAGGTTACAAAAACAGCTGATCCGAAACCAAACTATAGCAAAAGTATTACCCATCATATATTATTTACAAATATCAACGAAAAGATATTCGCTTTTTGAAGAAAAAAACAAAATTACCATTAATCAAATTCAAAGTCAGTAGGTACATGTAATTGTACATTTGCTTTCAAATATAGGACTGAGGAACGTGTAGGTATACTTTCTGTTTGTTGTTAGGCAAGGTTGTCAGGTACTGTTTTGCGTTTTCTGTTTATATCAAATGATGTGTTCCTAGTGATGTTCTGTGTTGTTTGTATATTTTCACCTGTAAACTTACCTGTCGTTCTGTTCTGTTGTACAGGTGTAGAACTGTGGCTGCCAGCGCGCCGGTAAGTCCGACACCAATGTCTAAGACGGCAGTGAGTTTCACAGCCCCTACTAGTCCCACCTCTTTCCGAAGTTTCTCACCTGTTTCCGAAGGTTTTCCAAATTACCGAAATTTCCTAACGGACGATGAATCCTTTGACAACGCTAGGTACTTTACCTCTCTACCCAGGCATGCAAGCATGTCAGGTGTCAGTGGCCATGGAATGCACAGCACACCTAGGGACCATCAGTACGATCCCCAGCAGTATGGGCGCAAAAACAGCGCTCCGTACGGCGTGGGGAGCTATACTATGCCTAAACCCACACCATACCGACCAAGTGGGGGCAACATGCCCACGTCACACAATCGGAGTGGAAGTGACAGTAGCGGGTACCAGACATCGTCATACGGACCGAGTCCTAACACGTTTGATTCCCCCCTCTCGTCTGGCACCCAGCCAGCCAGCTCATCATCGTCTTCCAACAAACCATCTCCGGCATCTTTTAGTTACGGGCCCGGGCCGGGGATAGCACCTCCATCATATGAAAGTAGTATTGAAGACAGAAGGGGAGTTTCGTCAAGTTCGCCAGCCTACCAACGACAGTATTCATCTGGGTCGCCCAACAAACAGAGTGCTTACAATCAAAACGGGAACATGTATTCCCCATCATATGAATCATCAGCTATGTATTCTCATAGTGATGATACTCCCACTACTCCAAATAGGTCATACGGCAATTCTACTTCCTATTCACCTTTTCAAAGACAACCTTCAAGGGAAGCTGACAGACATAATACTTATGAACAATCAGCCGGGCAGGATTACCCCTCCTACCAGCATCAACCAGCAGAGTTAACACAAAGTGCTGGTTACCATAGGCAACAATCATCGGAATATCAAAGACAACCATCTTACAGTTCAACGCCACAGAGCCCACTGTTGGATAGAGGCTACACGGGACCCCCTCGTAGACAGGTATCCCAGGGTGCTGGAATAACTGCGGATAACTCGACTCCAAGGGGCTTCCAGAGACAAGGGTCATTCGGTAGTGATCGGGAAGTCGTCAACTCTCCGGTGTCATATCAAAGACAGACATCTTCTGGCTCGTTTCCAAAATCGCAAGTATTCTCCGCTACAGTGTCTTCTACATCATCCCCGACAAATAGCCATGTGACAAATGAACAAACCGGAACTTCCGGTCCGACATCTTATGGAGAGCCTACGTCACCATCTTCGGTAAAATCCGGTGGCACAGGGATTAACAGCATTGAGGATATTTTGTCACCTTTTGAGAAGTTTCCTAATTATTATAACGAATTTATTAACAGCACTAAGCCTGCCCCAAAACATAATGTAGATAGTGGATTATCGTCTGACATTTCGGATCCAGGGAGGAGTTACAAGTCTCCTACACTGAATAACTCTTCAGAACCCTCCAGACAACATCACTCGGATATGTACGGCGTAACATCACCACAACCGTGGGATGAAAACCCCTATCAACCAAGACAACTCTATGGGGACCAAATGGCCCCCTCGCCTCCTGGAGTGCCACCTCCTCCNGATATGTTCCAACCAAAAGGCCAGCCTACAAGGTGAGAAAGTCTATAATTCTTTTTACATCCGATTGATTTTGTTGTTAAATCGGCTACTATCCTATAATTTAAATGCAACTGCTATAACATGCTTAGAAATACACATTTAAGGTTATGTTTAATTTTCAAAATTAAGCACCAAGTAAAGAAAGTTAATTCGAAAGTTGTTTTTTTTAATAACTTTAGGTTATAGAATTGAATTGAGTTTATTATATTTGAGAAAAATACGATTTGTAGCATGATGGACGCTTTTAGAAATTACAAACAAAATATGGAAATTATTACTGAGAGTGCCAAACTAGTAATTGATCGGTACATTACTATACTTAATGGGTAGGGGTACCGTATTTATGCCATGAAACCGTGCAGGATACAGCTGTGCAGTAAGCAGGCACGTGTATACGTTAGAAATAGGCCGAGATATTCTCGTAGTCAGGTAAGGTATGTACAATGCATCTGTCTGGTGCAGACAAGATAGACTGTTGCCATGACGACCATAATAATATACAGTCAGTCGCATCAGAGCGAATAATTAGCCTAGAGGTTGGTACAGAGGGTAGCTTGCTCATTTGTTTTTTCTCTCATACTTAAAACATAATCAATTTTCCTTATGAATCACAACCAATGCTTAAAAAGTAGATGCTTTACATGTCTATATGTCTTCTCACGCACCTCATTAGCATGCTGTTCCAACGCCCTCCCCAACACCTTATACATTCTCGTTTTGTTTAAAACTTATTTTTAGATTTCATGTATTCCCTCTGTATATATCAAATGATATAATAAAGTGGTAATAGAGATATAACGGCGGTGTACAATTATCAAGGCGGAACAGGTCGACCTGAATGTGTCATGTGGTAAAACAATCCGGTAAACGGAATGGTGATATAGACAGAAATAGTACCACAATAAAGAACATACGTTACAGTGACAAAGCTGTAATAAAACTCATAATTCACCAATTTAATAATCACAATATTTGCCAAAAAACATATTCTTTAAAGGAAAACTTTTAATTCTATATTCATAGTAAGTGGACGAGTAAAGTGAACAAATGGTGGGTGTAAGTAAGGTTATAAAGCCCTATTGTCTATGGTCACTGGTGCTTTGTTGTTATTGCGTGTTTCATCTCATTAGTCATGCGTAGTGAACATTAAAACCTCTTACGCCTGCACCTTTGTCGACTCTACTGGAATTCAGTTCAACCTAATTGTTTGATAAATATAATTAGTCTTCATAAATAGAACAACACTCTGATATATATAGCACTTGTTGTCGATTTTAGACAGAGTTGTGACGCGATTTAGGGGTACTCCACCTTCACACAGGTCGTATAGGGAAAACCTTATGATTTTGAACACACATCTAATTTGATAAACTTAAGTATAAGACATTCTGAAGTGATTCTCAGCAGGAGAAAGTTTATTTGCGACGGGAATGCTACACTATCCATCAACACCAGCAAACTTTTGGCATTGTTGCAAAACAGCCTCTTTCTACTTGTATAGTATGCATATTTCCAGCTGATTTTTCGTTTTTTTGTCCATTGTACCGTCATCTAAGATGTGTCTGTGAGCATCGCTGAAGCACTATTTGATACATTGTGCGTTGTGGATGTTTCAGGCGCGTGACGAACGCACCCCCGGGGACGGCAGTCCCGTGCCCCCCGGAATGGGAAGAGAGAGGTGCGTACCGGATGCAGTACTTAATCAGATGATGAAAAAGGACGGGAATGCTAAGCCGTTTGCCTACATAACAGGGGGCATCGATCTGAAGGAGTTCAAAAACAAGAGAAAGTAAGAATTCATCATTAAATATACAACAATAGGAGACATATATTCTATTCAACGAGACACAATACTTTGTGTTTTTAGAAATTTTAAAATATCTTCTTTTTCAATGTTAATGATGACCCGATTAAGTAATCAAAGTCTTACTAGAATGCATGTTGTTATAACAGTCGGGAAAATCATTGGATCATGTTAATCGGAAGTTTTATAAGGGATGTACCTCTTAAAAAACTCATATAATGTAACGTATAGTGTAACTATCAATTCTCACTGGGTTTACCTATGCGCTATGTTAATATGATGCATTCTGCGAAGAACAGTTCACTGATAGACGATGCTGATTATCCGGGCTATGGAACCTAGTCATGTTTTCTTACTTAAATAACAAACAAATAGTCTTCATTGTATCTTGTGACTATATTGATATCAAACAAGACCCATGATTATGAGTATTGTATATTGGTGAACCACTCACCCGAGGATGGGTGTTACCTATAGCGTGAGTTAGTATGTACTTATAGCCATACTTCTCGTTACACCTAATAGGCATGTATGTTTCCTCTCTCCGATTACATAATAAAGACAGGGGCACTATTACGACCAACAGATGAGGGGTACATTTGTTATAAAGTGTAACACTAGATAACTAGCTATGTAGATACATGTAATATGTACTTCATGTTTGACAGTGTGTCAGTGTTACGACATTTGTCTTTTGTTTTGACACATGTTCATATCTAAACATTACATTAATATGGAGAAATCTGATAATTTACCAGCATTCATAAACATGTCTCAACCAATACAAATAATCTGAAACACTGACTTCACCTATATAACAATATGTATATAGGTAAATTCAACTTTTTAATTCCACACTCTATCAAAACAGAACACAGGTCACTGAGATAAAGATTGGTTTTGCATGTAGACCCTATTAAGGTTCGTTCCTTGTACGACAGAATCTTGATTTATGAACTTCATTGTTATTTTTCTATAAATCGATTGGAATTTTTCTGCCCAGATTATTTAAAAAAAATGATGACAAGATCTTTGATAATACACTATCTCACGCATTTGTTTATGACATATATTGCAATATCTTAATTACAGACTAAAAACAGTTTTCTACTAATCAAGTATCATTCATATACAGTTGCTCGTTGTATTTAAAGCGACTCATTTTTTTTTTATTCCAGTCGCCCCCCTCCTCCTGTGATGCCAAAGTCTTACAGAGGACCAAATCTGAATGATGAGGAGCCTCCAGAGGACTACACACCGCCTCAACCAAGAAGACCACCGCCACAGTCGCGTCCCCAGCAATACCAGCCTCCCCCGCCTCCTCCCCCGGCCCAATACCAGTTTCAACCCAAACAGCCGCAATTTCAGCAACAACCACAGTATCAGCAAGACCCGCAATACCAACAACAACCGCAATACCAACAACAGAACAACAACAGCTTCTCGCCCATCAGGACGCCACCCTCCCCGCCGGTCAGGAGCAGCTCTGGGTCAGTATATACGTCATTTTACTGGCTACTGATTGACAAATCTTATAAAATTCTACTTCCAAAAATAATTTGTCATTGGGGAAAATATATCTGTCTTTCAGTCATTTTTAGTCTCTACGATTCATTTCTTCATCTTGTCTTGTCATATTGTCAATGGACCATTTCAATTGAATTATCATTGACGGTTTGGCGCATTTGCGAAAACCTCTGTTATGACACTGTTATATGATCGATTGCCAGTCCATCCTTTACAGGACATCCCGACATGTGTTTCTTGGGTCCTTATGCTAAGACGGGCAAACATATGTTAGGAAGGTGTATAGTGGCTTGTCGTGTAAGACCTAACTGAAACATAATATTACTAGGTTATTGCATTTCTCTTTTGAGAACAATTATGTTTCCATTATAGATTAGTCATTAAAACGAAAAACGTATTATTGTACACTACTTATGGTTACACTACTTATTGTTACACTACCTATTGTTACACTACCTATCGTTACACTACCTATTGTTACACTATCTATCGTTACACTACCTATCGTTACACTACCTATTGTTACACTACCTATTGTTACACTACCTATCGTTACACTACTTATTGTTACACTACCTATTGTTACACTATCTATAGTTACACTACCTATCGTTACACTATCTATTGTTACACTCCCTATTGTTACACTACTTATTGTTACACTACCTATTGTTACACTACTTATGGTTACACTACATAGTGTTACACTACTTATTGTTACACTACTAAGTGTTACACTACCTATTGTTACGCTACTTATTGTTACACTACTTATTATTACACTACTTATGGTTACACTATCTATTGTTACACTATCTATTGTTACACTACATATCGTTACACTATCTATCGTTACACTACCTAGTGTACACTACATATCGTTACACTACCTATTGTTACCCTACCTATCGTTATACTACCTATTGTTACACTACTTATTGTTACACTACTTATTGTTACACTACCTATCGTTACACTATCTATTGATACACTACCTATTGTTACACTACCTATCGTTACACTACCTATTGATACCCTACCTATCGTTATACTACCTATTGTTACCCTACCTATCGTTACACTACCTATCGTTACACTACTTATTGTTACACTATATATTGTTACACTATCTATTGTTACACTACCTATCGTTACACTACCTATTATTACCCTACCTATCGTTATACTACCTATTGTTACACTACTTATTATTACACTACTTATGGTTACACTATCTATTGTTACACTATCTATTGTTACACTACCTATTGTTATACTACCTATCGTTACACTATATATTGTTACACTACCTATCGTTACACTACCTATTGTTACACTACCTATCGTTACACTACCTATTGATACACTACCTATTGTTACACTACCTATCGTTACACTACCTATTGATACACTACCTATCGTTACACTACCTATTGATACACTACCTATCGTTACACTACCTATTGTTACACTACCTATTGTTACACTACCTATCGTTACACTACCTATCGTTACACTATCTATTGATACACTACCTATCGTTACACTATCTATTGATACACTACCTATCGGTATAGTACCTATTGTTACACTACCTATCGTTACACTATCTATTGATACACTACCTATCGGTATAGTACCTATTGATACACTACCTATCGTTACACTTTCTATTGTTATACTACCTATCGTTACACTATCTATTGTTATACTACCTATCGTTACACTATCTATTGATACACTACCTATCGTTATACTACCTATTGTTACACTACCTATTGTTACACTATCTATTATTACACTACCTATCGTTACACTAACTATTGTTACACTGGTTTGTTCTTTATATCGTAGTATACCACACAACAGTATAGTCATTATGCACAGTATTGTACTGCTTATAGAGAAACCATACGCGTCCATCTGATTTATTGAAGTGTCGTCTTTATTTAAGATTTACGGTGGGTTTTTTCAGATTTTCTAGTCGTTATGTTTGTTTCTGACCTTTTTGTTTAGTTCTAAACAGAATTACTTTTGAAGAATAACGATATGATTTTTCGTTATGCCAATCATAAGAGATCTACCAACACAAACATACCATACCACATTTCAGAGTTGTGGATGGTACTTCATCTGAAAAGAATTAACATAAATTTTGCCACCTGGACCATTTATCATATTCTAATAAATATGACAGACATTAATAGAATATAAAAGGCATTGTCTGTTGAAAATACCCAAATTGGCTACCTAAACAAATCTGCTTAAAAAAATGTTATAATGCGTCACGGACAGAGTTGTTAGATTCTGTTGTGACTGGGTGGCTTGTTTGGCTACTTATTTTAATTGTACAATCTTAACCAGCCAGTTTGCGAAACAGGTTCTATTTCACAAAATACAGTCACAATTTAAGTAAATGTGCTAGAAATTACTGCTAAAATGAGTCTGTAGCAATTATTATTGATTTAACTATTACTACTTACTAACTGTTATTATGTGGTTGGTTACCTCGGTTACTGAGAAGTCTCGCTACTAACTTGATGTGTGGTTGGTTATTTCTCTATGGTATTCATACTGTCTAATGTATCTTTTTCTTCTTCTTGTTCATCTTTTTTCTCATGCTAACCCCTAATACAGCGTGTGGTTTTTTTTTTATTTCATACGCTTACATAACTGAAACTAATGTAGCATTATCAATCTGCCATTCTTAAAAATACAATGGACCGGTTTACTTAATTAATAATCACTTACATCCATGTGTCTTTATTTCAGAGTGAACTATTTAAGATAAACTGGACATATGTGAATTTGTAAGATGTTCCACCCTGACCTGCTAAGGTTGTCTCTATTTTCAGCAAATATTACCGACCAATACCAAGCCCTGACTTACCCCATAGAAAACTATCTAACTTCACTATACCGCCCAGAAAGACCATTCGGTGAGAACCCGTGTATGTCCGTCCTTTAGTGCAACCCAAATAGACAGTATGCATAAGAATACCATGCTGGATGATGACGTCACGGCGGTTATATGTCACGGACGGCCAGACGTACATGCGCAGTACACATAGCGATAGCTTCTGTCCCATAATAACCCGTGACAGCGTGTTGTCATTCACATAGACATCTAACCTATTTATAATGTTTACAGAATGTTTTTATTTCCTTAAAACTAACATTCTTCAGTTTTATGCTCGGTTTGCAATTTTATTCAGGAATATTAGTTTAAGTCAGTAATTTTGGTTTGTTACTAACACAGCCACTCCTTCCCCTGACAGGATAATTGTATCGATTTCATATTTAAGGTTCAAGACATGTCTTTATTTCTAGTGAAGGAAATTAACTGTTCAATTCACCATGATCGATACATCATTTTGTTTTAATTATTTAAGTACCATATTTTCCTTGCGCGCTCATTTCATTATACTTTTTTTGCTCATTTACTAAAAACGAAAATGAACCTATTTATAAGTTGCACTTTTTCCATTAATTTTGCATGTGGAATTGGTGCGAATGAAATCGCGTTAAAATAATGTCTTGCTGTCACTATAGAGTGAATCCAGAGATTTATAAATAGATGAATGCGGTTTTTAAAATTTAAACTAATTTGGCATTAAGACTTGAGCATGAGATTATGATGATAATTGAGAATCCTAGCGATTTTAGCACGTGATTTATTTTTATATTAAAGAATGCTAGCATTTTTAGCACGTGGTATATATTCATAATTAAGAGTCCTAGCGTTTTGAGCATGTTAGCGTTTTGGGCACGTGGTTATTATATAGAATCGAGGAGTTTTGACTTTTGAGCACATGGTAAATGTTGATAGATTAGAATGTTAGCGTTTTTAGTAGGTGTTTAATGTTTGCTCATTAAGAATGTTGGAGTTATGAGTTATCAGGTTTTTTTTATTGATCAGTTAATTACACTAATGCACTGAAGGGTACGGTGACACACTTTATTAACTACAAGCAATTACACTTGCATTGTTCCTCTAATCATCATCTTCACTTACAGCGTGTAAGTCGCAAGCTTCGGAGAACCATAGTTTAGTTTAAATAGGGTTAAAGGATGATAAAATGAAAAAGGTTCAAACAAATGAAAAAATATTCTGTACGTGGAGCCTAGTCGTGGGAGCCTGTTCTATAGTTGTCCGTACGTGGGGCCTAGTCGTGGGAGCCTGTTCTATAGCTGTCCGGACGTGGGGCCTAGTCGAGGGAGCCTGTTCTATAGCTGTCTGTACTTCGTAGTCGTGGGAGCCTGTTCTATAGCTGTCTGTCCCTCGTAGTCGAAGGAGCCTGTTCTATAGCCGTCTGTGCCTCGTAGTCGAGGGAGCCTGTTCTATTGCTGTCTGTACCTCGTAGCCGTGGGAGCCTGATCTATAGCTGTCTGTACCTCGTAGTCGCGGGAGTCTGTTATATACCTGTCTGTATTTCGTAGTCGTGGGAGCCTGTTCTATCGCCGTCTGTACCTCGTAGTCGTTGGAGCCTGATCTACAGCTGTCTGTACCTCGTAGTCGTGGGAGCCTGTTCTATGGCTGTCTGTACCTCGTAGTCGTGGGAGCCTGCTCTATTGCTGTCTGTACCTCGTAGCCGTGGGAGCCTGATCTATAGCTGTCTGTACCTCGTAGTCGGGGGAGTCTGTTCTATAGCTGTCTGTATTTCGTAGTCGTGGGGGCTTGTTCTATAGCTGTCTGTTCCTCGTAGTCGTGGGAGCCTGTTCTATGGCTGTCTGTACCTCGTAGTCGAAGGAGTTTGTTCTATATCTGTCTGTACGTGGGGCATAGTCGTGGGGGGCCTGTTCTATAGCTGTCTGTACCTCGTAGCCGTGGGAGCCTGTTATATAGCTGTCTGTACCTCGTAGTCGAAGGAGTTTGTTCTATATCTGTCTGTACGTGGGGCATAGTCGTGGGGGGCCTGTTCTATAGCTGTCTGTACCTCGTGGTCGTGGGAGCCTGTTCTATAGCTGTCTGTGCCTCGTAGTCGTGGGAGCCTGATCTATAGCCGTCTTTACCTCGTAGTTGTGGGAGCCTGTTCTATTGCTGTCTGTCCCTCGTAGTCGTGGGAGCCTGTTCTATGGCTGTCTGTACCTCGTAGTCGAAGGAGCCTGTTCTATATCTGTCTGTACGTGGGGCATAGTCGTGGGGGCCTGTCCTATAGCTGTCTGTACCTCGTAGTCGAAGGAGCTTGTTCTATATCTGTCTGTACCTGGGGCCTAGTCGTGGGGGGCCTGTTCTATAGCTGTCTGTACCTCGTAGCCGTGGGAGCCTGATCTATAGCTGTCTGTACCTCGTAGTCGGGGGAGTCTGTTCTATAGCTGTCTGTATTTCGTAGTCGTGGGAGCCTGTTCTATAGCCGTCTGTACCTCGTAGCCGTTGGAGCCTGTTCTATAGCTGTCTGTACCTCGTAGTCGTGGGGGCTTGTTCTATAGCTGTCTGTACCTCGTAGTCGTGGGGGCCTGTTCTATAGCTGTCTGTCCCTCGTAGTCGTGGGAGCCTGTTCTATAGCTATCTGTACCTCGTAGTCGAGGGAGCTTGTTCTATAGCTGTCTGTTCCTCGTAGTCGTTGGAGCCTGTTCTATAGCTGTCTGTTCCTCGTAGTCGTTGGAGCCTGTTCTATAGCTGTCTGTTCCTCGTAGTCGTTGGAGCCTGTTCTATAGCTGTCTGTTCCTCGTAGTCGTGGGGGCCTGTTCTATAGCTGTCTTTACCACGTAGTCGTGGGAGCCTGTTCTATAGCCGTCTGTACCCCGTAGCCGTTGGAGCCTGTTCTATAGCTGTCTGTACCTCGTAGTCGTGGGAGCCTGTTCTATTGTTGTCTGTGCCTCGTAGTCGTGGGGGCCTGTTCTATAGCTGTCTGTACCTCGTAGTCGTGGGAGCCTGTTCTATAGCTGTCTGTACCCCGTAGCTGCGGGAGACTGCTATATACTAGTAGGATAACTTTGATGTAATGTACGTACCGATGCATATGTTTATAATCACCTGGTGCCGCGTGATACCTCTCCCTTCACTTGCACTACAGAACATCCAGATATACTGTTAATTCCAACATTACACGAATTCATCACCAACCTCGTTAAAACTGGCTAGCTATGTTATTTATACAAATGCCCAAAGCATAGTTTGGATTACCAGTAGTAACGATTTATGACGTTAAATGTAAAGAGGGTGTCAATGATGTTTATTTATTTCTGAAATATCACAGTAAATAAATACCTATAACATTGTATCCTCAATGTTAAAAAATACAGAGACGACTAAACTGTTAAAGGTTATATTTTGAAATCTAATTAAAATACAATTCCAAAATTGTTTCGTTGCATGTTAAAATGTTATTATCAGGATTATGCAATTTCGTGAACATATTGCATTATATTACGTTTGCATGGCACGATCGTAAACTAAATAGAAATAAGATATAACGATTTGATTACAGCTTAGTGTTAAGTCCATCAAGCATTCTTATCATTGATAATCATTGGTCATTGTGAGTCATACGGGTTAAACCTGCATGCTGTTTCATTAACTGCATTCACCATTTGAATAATAATTAAATGTTCGACAAACGTTCCTCATATTCATTTATCATTGATTCACGCACATTTTGATTCATTACGTGCATTTTTCGCTAATTAATGTCGTTCTCACTTTATTTTTCAGTTACTCAGAACAGCCGCTGAAGGACATAGAAAAATCTGCCGTCTATAAAATGATCCAGGAGAGTGAGAGCGAAGGTAAGATTGAATCACCAACAACACCAATATCACCAGCTTTATATGACCTAATACAACAAACCGAAAACGAAAAGAATTATCCGGAAGTCCCGGACACGCCTGTTTCGCCTTCGTCAATGTTCGTAGCTCCGCGACGGGCGCATGGACTATCATTTCAGGTGTTGCAGTGGATGACGGAGACAGAGGGGCAGAACCCGAGGCAGCCAGAGGAGAAGGAGGAGGAGGAACAAGAGAGTATGAAATGTTATACATTATACTCTGTTCTCTGCTTTTCTCGACCCTCACAACAACCACCAGGCGTGCTTTTCCTTTTACCAATGCCTCAGTCACGACCTTGTATCCACACACCTGGCTACCTTGTTTTAATGCCTATGTTTTCCTGTCTGAGTGTGGTGTTCCTTCAAGCCTTTCATGTTGGGAGATACTACATGCCGTCCTTTCTACCACACCTATATCAACTCATCTTTATTTAAGCATATTCTGCATAATTTTTGTTAAAATTCATATTTCAATACCGACTCACTCGAATATTGCTGTTGCCTTTGTTATTGATTTAAAGCACATCCCCAATCATAATTCGGTACTGTACCTGTTTCATGCGAACCAGTGACTATTCACGAACTTTTGACATTGCAGTCAGAAATTACAGCCAATAAATGTTGTAATTGAAAAGGAGTTGCAGGAATCTATAAATTCATATGAAGTTAAGAACGATAAGTAATAATAGCATTGGATGTTTGGCTGTATTACGCCAATGAATGATCGACACATACGTCTGCGAATCGATTCTGATACATATATTTTTTCACCGGCGGATGGCTCATACCAGAACATAGGACAGCAAGCATACAGTTATGTACGGGTGTGTCTATCTCCCAGTAACACCCCAAACAATAAGCCTGAAGAGGAAACGGTGGATAGTTTAAGAAAAACACTTAAGTGTCTTGAATCAAGACCTGTGTTAATTCGACCAGAAACAATCAAGATAAGCATTATAGCAATTAGATTATTTGAACCCGACACTGGAAAATGTATTCGGAAAAAGTATGAAATGTCCTCGCGATAGTTGCATTAATCTTAACTATTCCACTGTTTCCTTACACCATTACAGCTTCTGTACCACACACCTAACGGTATTTTGTTTTTCGTGTGTATACATAACAACATAAAAAAACCTGAAGTCAACTATATGAAGCAACTGTGTTTAACTTCACCAAATTAAGGCGTATAACCACACTTTTTATGGCTTATACTATATATATAACATTTAATAACATATACATATATCTATATACGTAAAATATATGGCTTCATCATTTATATTTTAATAATCAATTGTACATATTTTGTGTATAACATATATTTCTGTATATTATGTTTTCATGTATACGTGTTATTAAGCTGTTTGGAAATAAAGTTAAATGGTTCTCAATGGTCGTTCTGAAGGTAGAGATTCCTATCACTTTTCTTCTGTATACAGTCATTGGAAAGTCATTTTCCTGTAAAATATTTGTCATTCACTCTATATTAATACAAAAACGATAGTCGGTTGTGAGTACTTTGAGAAAGTTGGAACATTTTAAATCAGTTAGTTCCGGGTGTCAAATCTCACTAGCAAAGGTGTTTTGATAAAAGGGGATTTTATGATAAATATACATGTATATCGTTGGTACGTAGCTCTATGCTATTATAAAAGGGCAAGTAACTCCAAGTCAGAAAAAAATGGCTAACATTTTTGAAATCTTCTTTGGAGAAACACTGAAGAGTAATTGGGATTCCCTACCTTAAGAAAAAAATAACTACCTTATCTATTGATGTTGAATTTAGTTTGCTTATTAAAGTTTTATTGATTGAAATATGTTTTTTTTTGTATTACAAATATTTCAAAGTTAATTTTGTATCCAGTATAGATTGTGCTCATGAAATATAATTACACATTGTATCGAAATGTTTAGTTGTTATAAGCCTTAATGGAAAACTTAAATAAGGTTATCTCTACCTTGATATGAAAATGTTTTATTTTCGTTGATGCAAAAATTGTATTTCAATATCATCTACTAAGTTAATCGTCTAACTGTCATGTCATTGCTTATTACGATGGTGTTCATCCACGTGCACGATACAAATAAATGATTTTACTACATGTTTATATTCATGTTGTTTCAATAGGTAAGCAACCTCAACGGCGTAGTAGCGGCATGAAGGACCCGTTATTACGTCACAATGCTGAGGACGACGAAATGAGATTCAGCGGTCTGAGGGACAGGAAGAAGGATATCCCATCTAAAGCATTCAAGTGTCTAAACAAGATGACAAACAGTGGTGATGTCGCTGCTCCCAAAACAGTCATAAATAAAGGTACAATGAACAAGCTAGAGAAGGACATGTTACATAGCGGCAGAGTCGGTCAGCAGTGAGATCTACAGCGTTCAAAAGCTTTTGAATAAAGTTGCGCTCGTCTGCACGAGTTTGACCCCCGTCGTCCAGATCATCCCGTATTCTAACCAGGACTTTAAAATCAGTTAATGATTTTGTCGGAGCAGCACTTTAATGTGATATGAAATAATTAATAGTGGAGGGGTTTAATCGGTATTAATCTGTTTTTAATAGCTATATTGCCTGTTAAGGTACTATCTCGTTAAATATATTAAAAAAAATACAATAAACAAAAACTATATACAATTCGACTATAAAACACCAACCTACTCAAGGGAGATAACAAAGCCGAAAAAACATATTATATTTTTTAGAATATTTTGTTAAATTCGTGGATATTGTCTTACAATGCGTATACGTGTTACACTTTAATTAAACAATTTTAAATAAATTAGTTCACTGAATTGACGTTCCGGACCATCGAATCTTTACATACATGTTTTTATCTATATTTTTCCTAACCGTTGTTTTGCAGAAGACCAGGAAGAACCCGTTGGAAGGTATGACCAAACATCGATACGATACACGGGAAAGCACATTCCGTCCCCGTCATTTCGTGTGCTTCAGAATTGGGCGGAAATCGACCCTTTACCGCCACAGAAAGGTAGGTCGTTTGTTTGGTCGCCCTGAAACTTTTTGTTCCTGCTTTCATTTCCATTTGACTTATATTGAGTCTATGTTAAAAGAAATTATTTCGTGTGAAGAGAAAATTCGTTTATTTTTAGTAAATATTTCTCACCTATATTTAAGGTAATAAAAGGTAATTGACCATTTCTTTTCAAGAAAAATTAAAGAAACTACCAAAGTCGTTGTTAAATTTTCCAATCAAGCGTGTGTTTTGCCGCTTTCATGCAATTTTTTATAAAGTGACGATTTGAAAAATATGGATAAACAACATCGTGCTACATTAAGCGTATCACCGGGTGTCAAATTATCTTCCCAAGTGAAAGTACATTTTATTGTTAGGCATGGAAAACGAAAATGAGAGAAGAAAAAGAAAAAAAACAAAATCTGTAGAAAATAGGCCATTGATTGAATGATCCCCATTACGACATGTGGCTGTTTTTTCATGTTTGCAAATTTGTGCGTTGTTGTGTAGCGTGTCCCTGTTAAACCAAGACATTCTGAAACGATCACAAAATGATTAATAAAGAGTGCAGTCGTAATATCACCGCCATAACTATTCACACGACAGTTTAACGATAATTGATACAGTATCCATGTGATTCTGATTCGAGATATATTGATTTTCGTCAACTATTTCCCTAATAGTATAATATAACAATTGATACAATGCTTGAAAACTATCAATCAGAATAGAAAATAAGTATAGACTTTATATTGGTTATGAAAATGTTTAGTACGAATATGGACACATGGTAATTACTATTTCTAAGCATAACATTTGACAAAGTTTGTTTATTCGAGGACACGAAACTATGAACTTGGCGAGTCTCAGTAGGTTTCCAAAGAAAAACTAATACTGCAGAATAGAACATTTGTTCAATACAACAAAGCTTATTTTGAGAAAATGAAAAATCACATTGTCTCCAATTCGAGGAAGCCGAATACAACTTAACGTTATGTTTGTACAATGCATTAAAACTTAAATGTTAAAAAAAGTCCAAAAACGTCATGCATGTCATTTTTGTTCTGCAGCTGTTTTCAAACACCAACCCCTGTAAGTTTGTACCAGTTATTGACCTTCCCTTTCTTGTACCTTACCCTAGTATCTCAACCCACAACCCAGTCTGACGACGACTTAGATGAGTACGATGATGGTCTACCCGATACCCTGAGCGGCGATGAGCTGGTCGACCGACGATACATGGGGGGACATATTCCATCCCGTGCGTTTAAGGCCCTTCAGATGTCGATAGGGAGAGACGACGGGCACGCCCCTCCACCAATGGCTGTTCCTCCTCCACCAACGGGTATGCCCTCTGCCCAAGTCCCAACACCAAACCTCTTGTGTGTCTGTGCTGCTGTGCTTTCAGTGTATATGCACTATATTGAAACATGTTTTACATATTTGCATTTACAGTTCTAAATGTCCTAAACGTGCCACATTTGATATACAGATGTAAAGACGCTTTGGTTATGGCTATTGTATTTGTAAAAAAGGTATTTCGACCGTGAACATCATCGTATACTGAACCTGAACGCATAGCAAACATTAAAGCCAATTGTTAATCAGAGGAGATCACCTTAAAGGATCACATCGTAATGATGTATCTTTCCTCCCTGTACAGGAATAATATATGTTTGTTCAATATTTAATGATGCAAATGTCGATATTCACTTGTTTTATTTTATTTATTTGTTTGGAGGGGGGAGGGGGTCGGATTATTACAAAAAATGCCATCTATATTACACTTTCTAAATTATTAACGATCACAGTTTCGGTATACTAACAGTGATAAACTTGTGTGTTCCAGAGGAGCCAGAACCTGATCAACCACCCGTTCAGCAACAAGGCCCCCGGAAACTAATGATCACCACACAGAGCCGGGCAATACCTCCGCCTCCAGAGGACACGCCCAGTACAGATTTCTGATCAATAGGATTTACAGATTAACCGACATCAGAGCCACCGCCAACAACGCGTACTTCGATGACGTTGACCACAAGTGGGGCTACCAAGTTTAGATAAGAGTGTTAGCGATAACCAAGCAAGCGTTACATATATTCATAATATATATTTATTTATCATGAAATGAGGAAGGACATCATGACACTATTAATGTTTGTCGATCCTCGACTGAGAACTTAGTGATTTTCATGATATTCATTTTATAGTGGTTTTCACGCTGATTTAAAAGCGTTGATTTATGATCGCTTGATATAAAATGTTATAAATACCTGTGTCGCTAGGTCAGAAAGCATGTCATTTAAATTAGTTGCAAATACGCGAAAATGTGTGTGAGCTAATATAAGTAGGTATACATTATCTTATTAACGTTATCGCCCGACACATATTTAGTTAATTAACCTGAGTGTACAGTATGTAATAAATGATATGTGCAATATGTTATTACTGATATGTGCAGTATATAGTAACTCGTTTGTATAATATACAATTACTGTTGATATATAGTTACTGGTATGTACAATGTGTAATTACCGATGTGTACACTATGTAATTACTGGTATGTACAATGTGTAATTGCCGATGTGTACACTATATAATTACTGGTATGTACAATGTGTAATTACCGATGTGTACACTATGTAATTACTGGTATGTACAATGTGTAATAACCTATGTGTACACTATGTAATTACTGGTATGTACAATGTGTAATTACCGATGTGTCCACTATGTAATTACTGGTATGTACAATGTGTAATTGCCGATGTGTACACTATATAATTACTGGTATGTACAATGTGTAATTACCGATGTGTCCACTATGTAATTACTGGTATGTACAATGTGTAACTACTGATGTGTACACTATGTAATTACTGGTATGTACGGTATCGCGTTATATTAATACAGTGTATATAGAGAGTATGATGTATACAATACACGCATATAATTACTAAGTATTTTCTGGAATAAACAATATGTATTCTAGGATATGCAATATGTATTTTCTGGAATGTACAAAAAGAAATAGTTACTACGATGTACGTTGTAAAGTTCCTTGAATATACAGTTTGTAGTTACAATTTGTACCGGGATGTACACAATGTACTTACTGTTATGCAATACTGACAAAAGTAGCCTTACAGCATTGCTGAAGAAATACAAATGCACCAATCATTATCAGTGTAATACTGTTGATAATAATGTTAAGGTATAAATTGTATAGTTTTATGGAAACTGACATAGTATACTGCCTTACAAAGCGTACAATGCTATTTATCATTTAGGGAGCGTCATGTCATATTTATTGTTCTCACCTGTTTTAAGAAATGTGTTTATACTTTCATTTAAGATCTTTTCTTTTCCATGCGTCTCTGTGTCGACATTAGCACAATAACTAATGGATTAAGTGACTCACGTCTTACTGACCAGTCACGTGTTGCCCCTACTCACACTAGCTCTAGTATTAAAAGGTACGCGTGTCCCCTTCTCCTTCAATACATTGAACATGTATATATACGGTTTTAATTAACTCTTATTCATCTTTACATTATATATTATTATTTCTGGATCTGTGCAATATTTCATAGATTTATTTATTGCGTTGTTTAAAGTGTCATTTAAATATTCTATATCCTTGATATTAGTGAATAAATTAAGATATGTATTAATTTTATTTTATGAACGAGTGTTCAAGTAGTAAAACGTGTACGAATTCTGATGTACATTTGACCTGGTATAGCAGGTGATAGTGATGGAGTTGTTTACTGTATAATCTAACACATGTAATACGTAAGTTATTGTTTATTACTCCAAGTGATATGTTTGTTGGAGAAATAGACCGATAGTTGTATGTTAGCTCATTACATATTGCTTTGTGTGTGGTTAGGTTTTAACATTAGTCCAATATCGTTGAGCGAGTGTGCTCATGGTGTGAATATGTCGTGGTTCCACCAGAGAAAGGTATGGTACAGCTGAAACGAATCTCGTAAACATCAATGTGCCTTAATGTAACGTTGATTACGTCATCATTCATTAAATGAAGCTAATTATCAGACGCTGTTAATTGAATATAATTTGAAGATATATTAACTCAGATTTGCTGGGGTGTCCTGTTGTTCATAATATCTTAGTGCATTTGTTGGTCATTTTCTTGTTCAAATCATAAACCGTCCCAATAGCGACTTTGTCTGTTCCCGGCCAGTTTGATTACGTTTGATATAAGGAAATAAAAAAAAATTCTGCTTTTTATAAAAGGAACTGTTGTAATATTTTGATACCAATTGTCCACACTTGTAAAAATACTTAATATTATGCCATTATGGTTGTTTCATAGTATGCAATATCAAATAGCTTAAATATTGTGAATATGTTTTATTTGAAATATAAACTGTATTGTTAAACTACGCTAAATGCAAGTAAAGATTTGAACATCATTGATTTTCTCGCACTTTTTTTGCAAACAAAATATTCAGGAAACTTGGAAAAATAAACGATATCCAAATAATAAATAACGTGATGTAATATTGAAATACATTTTTCATTAATCGATTTACTAGAGTATACCTAATGGTTAAAAAGTAAGAACACATTTGTCAAGTTTTATTTTTCTACCACTAAGTGTTTGTCCTATGCGTGTATTTCTAGTGTAGGAGAATATTTAGACCATATATGTCTGTACCTACCTAGCTGTTGACCGGGATTGTTCTTTATTAGAGGACACACTGCTACGTGCTTTCTTTGTAATAAAATATTTTAAAGAGTGGTTTCAATCGTTTGTGTTCTTACTTTTGTGAAGAAAAAGGAGGCTTTAAATGATTGCCCAAATACTTTGTTAATTGCTAAAACACACTGTACAGGTTTGTTTTGTTTATAATTAATTCTGCCATTGCTCCTGCGCTTCTGGTGATTCTTTATTTACATTTATCAGATGTTGATTTCCTGTTCTGTTTGATAAATACATTCACAGCTATTTTCCTAAATAAACGAACATGGGAAGACCGTGTTTGACAGTGTCACGGCGGTGCGTTTATAGATGATCTGGTGCTAGGCGGTGACTGGGTCGTTTTTTCTATCAATCCAGCTTACTCGAGTATCTGTTTGTAGCCAGACAAATGCTATTTCGGGACATTACCTATGCTCCATGGCTGTCAAACACCCATCTGTATAAGCAACCTGCCTTCACGGAAACGCCCAGAGGCGGTCATCATTAAAAGACCACACGAAAAGTACTTAAAATTATCAATATTTTGGCTATGTGTCAGACAGGAATAATTTCGCTTCACTTTACTTCTCTGTTCTAAAGATATACGAAGCGCAATCCTATTACTGTCGGTTTCGGCGATTCTCGTTGATGTCGAGAATGAAGACCTGGGCATTCGCCCGTCCTTAAATGGCGGACCTTGATTGTTTTTGGTAGCAATTTGACGCTAGATTGGCGAAATTAGTTAACGCTCCGGGCGAATATGTCCACTTAGGCTGCCTTAGAGAAATAGAGTGGAAAGTCTGTCATTTGAGCTTTGACACAAGTGTGGTACTAGGATAATGAAACCAATGAAGGAATTACTCTCATACAATGTAAGCATTTCATTAGAAACACAGTACAAGCACAGTGATTGATAGCTGTATAAAAACTCATGTTTACGCATTTCTCCTGTCAGAACCTTCTATTTGTAGATCCTTCTTGTCACTGTCAAGATTTTTTCTGTTTTTAATTATCGGTTTGAAATTCTATAACACTATATTGACATTATTTATAAATGAGGTATATTATGGAGGATATAGACTACTGGAAGTATACAATAATTGGATTTATTTAAATAATATATACAACAAAATTTTGTGTCATTAATTATTTATTTATTTATTTTTGAATCCGCCTGAAGAAGCCCTAGAAGGCAGGAAGGCCTAGCAGACGATCTGAAAGATTTTTGTTTTTATTCTATATTTTCCTTATATATATATATTCATATGAAAAATGGATAATTAAGGAATTGTTATTTCCAAATAACGTTGTTTCCTAGTCATGTACTCACGACAATTGTAATCGAAAATTGTTTTGCCTATATTTGTGAATGTGCATATCATCACTTCAACATGTCATGTTTTAGAAAAGCAAAAGGCTCAAAGTTAACTATCATATTTCATCATTTATAATTATCCCAGACATGTCAACACGGGTTATGGTGTCTTTCGTTTATATTTGGTGTTGGCTTGCCTTTGCTTCTGTTCTATCTTGTCTTTGTGTCGCCTGTGTGAACAGTAGTTACTCTTTCAGTTCATTTAATGTACTTTGTTCGAGTTAACCTTTTTCCACGATGTGTTTGAACCAGGGGAGGGAACTATGTGCTGATGCTTCTCAACTATAAACACCTTTTAGTCTGGCATCATAAACTCTTTAAACTGCAAAACCATGGCCATCTTAATTAACTAGTTTGTCTACGAAAATGACTATCGGGATAATATTGATTTAGTTTAGTAATGTTTAATAGTTTGTCTTCATGGTAATGTTGGAATTCTGTCGGTGGAATTATTATCAAAAACAAATATCAATATCAAAGGTAATACAGTTGATTACATATTAATGATAGCGGCACCTGTTTAATGCTCTGGTTGTCTAAATTATTGCAGTCACCTTGTTTACACTTGACAGACACGTGCTCGATAAGCCCTTCGCCACAATGCTCGCGAAGACCTCCATGTTTGACATCAAGCTTGTTATATGGCTTCATTTGGTAATGTTATCAATTTTTCAAGCATCTCTAAAATTAGAAATGTGTATTTATAAGGTTTCCACTTTATGAACTCTAAAAAGTAGTTCAACAAAATGTAATCAAGACAATATTAGACACAGACGTTTTTGTATAAAAGCAAGTCAGGCGAACTGGGTTTATGGTTATAGTCGCTATCGGTCCTGATTGACGTCTTTGATACCCGAGTTCCGAGTTGTTCTGTTCCCTGATGATGAGATGGGAGTCTAGATGTAGAGCAAGGGACGGTAACCAATAGTGTTAATTGGAAAATAGCCCGACCGGTAAGGTCGAAATTGATTAAGTTGTATAATGTTGTGAATGGATCACGGGTACAAGTGTTAAATTAACACAGCACTTGTCTTATACAATACCGAACATCACCAAGATGTAGGTGTTTATCCCGTATAGAACAATATATACAATTATCTACAAAAATGCCAGAAAATGTAACAACAATAGCTATCAATGACTGTTGAAGATAAGCTCTGAAGCACTTACATTGTTTCCGTTCGAAGTCAAGTGCTTTTAATTTAAAAATAAGATTTTTGTTTTGCTTTTAATTCAATTTAATGTTTTCGAGATAACACAACACAGGTGAATATAATTTATCAACAGTCTGTAATACTGTACCAAGTGTATAAAATTAAACCTAGTATCTAACATTTTTCTTACAGTTAATGAAACTTCATTTAATTTGTTTCTGAGATCATGGACTTCAGGATGTCCATTTTTCATCGTTTAGTATTTTTCATGTCTATCACCACTCGAAGATAAATAATGATAAAGTTGTGACTAGTATTATTATCTTTATTTCCTCCAAATGACGATTGCAATGCATTTCATATTAATACAGACAAAATAATATATAATGAAATCAGAACAATGGATAATTGCATACATGTGACAAAAATGAATATACATGCACAGTATATTATTTGGACACTAGGTATACGTACATTGTACATTATATTCTCCTTAACGGTTATATACATCTAGTACAGTAAGCATGCGAATGAATGAATTAAGAAAGTGTCATGAATGTGTTTGTAGTTACCAATTAAACATAGTGATATATATACGGTTACTCTAAACTCATCTGCTGCAAATTCTTAACATTTTATAATATTCACCGCCAAAAGTAATTATAAATTCTTGCAATTCACTATTTCTTAACTGAAACTTACTTTGCCTCATTGATTTCATTTTCAGGTAGCGAATAGATAACAGGTCGTGTACTTGGCTTTATCCATTCATAACCTATCTCTACTACATGTAGTATCCGTAAAATTACATCTTGGCAGTGCTCACCACACCTGTGACAAAGGTTTGTGGTATTACTCTTTCTAATTGTTACAATAAGATTAATCACAAAATGTTTCAAATCTCTGTATATGGGGTATTTCTTGGATAACAACCATTAACTGCGATTGTAACTTCATATAAATATGAATGAATTTGCTGAAATCATAGCCATTTGAGGTAAAAAAAAAATACCCTAAAATCGTTTTCCTGTTTGGTTGAAACAGACACTTTCTCTATATTTTTCCAGTTTCTCTTATAAGAAAAAATACAATTATCTATAAATTCATGCACGTATCTATGCAGACTAAACTTTTGAATGACTCTAAATAAATTTTGACAGAAACTCTGCTTTTTAATTAAAAAATGTGTATACGTCGATAGCACTGCTGCAAACATCCGATTCAAAAAGACATTGAATGATGACGTATGCCTGTCCATTCTACGTCTTCCAACGTAGTTTCTTGACATCAATAATACTGTCTATGGATGACCATCCTACACGACTACAGGACATTTTCGTACGGGTTCTTCTTTCAAAACCTTGTATATACTTGACTACAAAATTGTGATCCCGTTCTAACATTAGAATCTATATAAGGTTAAGTGGGAGAGGCACTTACAATTCATACATGGTGCGTGGTGCAAGTTTCTCTAAAGATCGGTTCTGGAAGTGGAATGAATCATTAATGAAATATATCAGTGGACTTGCTTCAGACACAGCGTTCCACACTGGATCTAAGTTGAGCAGGTCCAAACCAATCTATCATTACCATACCTCTCCTTCCCATGTATTACCGAACAATAACTATTTAATTTAGTCCGAACAATCTCAATAGGTACGCTCGATTTTCATCTCCAGGCGTGAAATGGCATTTTATAATTATCATTAACAAACAAACGTACAGGTATGTTCCTGGTAATTAATATTTCCTTTAATGTTGGAGGAAATATGAATGGATTTACTCTGCAACCTCAATCGATCATCGCACGAGGTAGCTACCGGGGAATCTGTATAATATAAAGGTAGGAAACATAGAATGGAGAATATGCAATATCGCTGATAAAGACTTCCAGCTACAGGCATTGTGTTAAATCATACAAAGATGGAAACCTTAACACGGAGAATGTGCGTTATTGCTGATAAAGGCCTCCAGCAACAAACGTTGTATTACGGAGACAAAAAAGGCGTTGCTCTAGAATTACATGGCGTTTTATTATCTACACTTACAAGTTAGTGTATTATATATACTGTAAATTAACAAGATGTATTATTTAGACATAAAAATAAGTGTATTATATATACTGTAGATAAAAAATATGTTATATTATTGAGACGTACAAGTCAATATACTATATAAAAGACATTTAAAACTCTTTGTATTATTTAAACATACACGTTAGCGTTTAATATATAACTTAACATGGCGTTATACGATAAAGACATACAAGTAAATAACAAGGGAAGATATTATATCTAATAAAAAAACCAATCTTCATTTGAATCATCAAACTATACGATAATATTTACGCCTTTACGATAAAAATCAAAACGTTTACAATGAGACAATAAAATCATTGCCATCATTCCACCACCGGTCTAGGTGAGGGCTCGTGGTATTTTTCAATTTGTTTAAATGTCTCTGAATGCTATTATTGTCTTTTCCTTTCAACGCTAGTTCCATGACACAAAAACAAATCAACATCTAGAAAGTA